AAGTTTTTAAGCTAATTTTTTTTAAACCACTTTTGTCCAAAAAAGCATATTTTTGACTCAAAATCAAAAACGCATTCTGGATATTTAAAATAAAGACAAGTTTTACAAAGTTTGTATAATATGCTTTCAGAAAATATATAACATGCTGGATATATAATACCATCTTCATTGTCTAATTATTCAATTAAAAAGCAAGCCAAATAAACTGCATCTCTACCTTAATCTCATCACTGTCCCTCTATCCCCTTTCTGGAAATGACTACTTGTAGCGTCCTTTTGTCTCTGCGGGTAAACAAACTGTTCACACCATGGCCGAGGGAGTCAGGAAGTCAGACAAATTACAATACCGTCAGAATATTCATTAAAATCGGCAAATTTAGTGTCATGCAAAGTGATATTGGCTCATTGTAATACTGTAATGAAACAAGATTAATGCTATGAAATTTGGGGTTTTTGAACCCTGATATGCATCAAAACCAGCCTACCAACTCATAAACATTGAGTTCCTGCCATGTAAAGATTAATCTCGGGAATTATGTTCATCTTCTAGTATTAATATGGAAAAAAACAGCTTGTACCAACATGCTGACATGGCTAAAAACAAATCTTGTCAAAATGGCTTTATTCATGTTAACGAGATCAATCGGAAAAACCTGTGATATTTCTAATTCTTGGGAGTTCATAACAATTCAAGTAAACTATACAACAACTAGGTAATGACTTTATTTGATGCAAAAGTACAAAACAATGTTTCATATATAAATGATATTTTTAGCACTGAATAGCGTACATTGTCATTTCAAAACGTCGCCATTTGCATTTACGATCGAAAAGTGCATCCATAAAAAATCGCCCAATCTAACATTAATAAAATGTGGTGTGACAAATAACAAATCAGCCCACAAATTTGTAATGATATGTTTCGATCATAAAATGTCAAAATCAAAGACAAATATTCGTTTCGTGCCGAAAAGAAGGCTGAATGAAATTCATTTCAATCACCGCAAAAGTCAAAACACGAAAATTTTTAGGTAAAGATATGAAAATTTGTTGGGGAAATGTGTCGCTGCTGGTAAAATAAATGAATTAAAGAACCACTTGACGGCTAAAATATGACCTTGTATAGATA